GAAAACCGTCCATAGAAAAGGAAAAATGAAGCTACAGACTTACTATTTAAGGGTGTGGTGTGGCCCAAGGAACGACTTTAACCCCAAAAAAAAGAAGAGAAAAATGAGAGAAGGAGCTGCAAATGAGACCGTTCATGTTATAATTTTACAAAATGTTTATATATGTTTTTTTCATTCAAAGCATGCTTGTATAAGTTGGCATTTTTCCACACTATTAATGTTGGGGGGTGGCCCATTAGGTTGCATTGTTTTTGTTTGTTTACAATTTTCAAATATTTTTGGAAGATCAGTTGTTCAACATCCTTTTTTTTTTACATTGAGTTGCTGTTTTTAATTCAGTTCTGCTTAGTTTGTTAGTTGGGTTACTGTATCGTCTGTTCATTTTCAATCAAAAGAGTGTATGTGTTACTGGAAAACAGTTGCCTGTTAATTTCTAAAAGGTGAAGGTCTATTTCGTGTATCTACATATACAAATGTATTTGAAAATAATTTTGACATTTTAGTGCATATCTATAGATGTTGTCGCATTGGAACTGATGAAAGCGGAGGAACATAGATTGAAGATATCTGGCGGTGGTGGCTGGCCAACAGCCACATGTGCGTCATGATACCACTGTCATGGAATTGTCAAGGGTTGGGGATTCCTTTGACAGTTCTTTACTAGAAGGAACTTTTCCGTTTCAAAAATCCCATTTTGGTTATCATGGCGACTTTGCTCATGACCTTTCCGCTTACTCACCCATTTTCCCAAATATCCCGTTTAGGGTTTATCCCTTTTGATTTGGCTTCATCCTCGACTTGCAGTTGCAAAAATTAAACTCGTTTTTACGCGTATCTATTGGAAGGTGTGTAGAGCTATAGCTCGAGTGCTTACACCACCTCCTTCTTGTCTGTTGGTTCTGGTTACCATGTTTGCTTTGGGATGGGATTTCTCATTCTCTGTTTGCTGGATGCTTTCTTCGGGATGTTTGAACGGGGTCAATTCCAGTAATGTTGGTGAACCTCAGTTGGTGTATGTTTCAAGGTTTCATTGGCTTGGTTTGCTTGTGACAGCTATAATTTCCTTGTTTGTCTTAGGTTTTATGCGGGCTTCTAGCCTTATGCGGGGTTATTTCTTTTTGGGGGCTTTACGCCCATTTGTGTTCTTTTTTGTTTTTGTTGGCCTTATGCCGCTTTAGTTTCTTTTCCATTTGGGATTACAATCTTCATGCTATGCCGCACTTTGGTTTTAGTTAGATCGGTACCTGGTTTAATTTTCGTTGCTTTCCTTTGCGGGTGTTTTTGCCCGGCTTTGCTTGTAGTGTTCTTTGCCCTTTTGTTGGTTTGCAATGAATTGCTACTCTGACCCAAAAAAAAAAAAAGAAGAGTAAAACTTGGAATCAGATATTGAAGGCCCAAAATGTTCGCATAATAGGTCCACCGTCACTGTAACATTTGGGTGCATCATTTGACCCAAGTAAAACGTTTTTCTCTTTCGGCCCACTGTCATTATGGGTCTCTATGAACCGCCCCATATCCTTTTTGGGCCACACCGATTTGCCTAGGCCCTTTCCATGTCCCTTCTTTTTAGCATTTCTTCTGTCTGTCGTCACCCTTCCTCAGTCATTAGGTTTCTTTGTTTTTGTTTGTTTACAATTTTGGGATATTTTTGGAAGATAAGTTCTTTTTTCACATTGACTTGCTGTTTTTAATTCAGTTCTGCTTAGTATCGTCAGTTCAGTTTCACTCAAAGGAGTGTATGTGTTTCTGAAAAACAGTGCCTGCTAATTTCTGAAAGGTGAAGGTCTATTTCGTGTATCTACAGTACAAATGTATTTGAAAATAATTTTAGCATTTTAGTGTCTCTATTTGGGCTTGAAATTGCATATATATGTTGGACTTTGTTTGAATTTGCTTTTGATTTACAGGGTGTGCCTGAGTTCTTCTACAAAAATGAAGAAGATGATAGCTCTAGGGTTTGAGGGTTCAGCCAACAAGATTGGTGTTGGGGTTGTCACCTTAGATGGCACAATTTTGTCAAACCCACGCCACACATACATTACCCCTCCCGGCCAAGGGTTCCTTCCCCGCGAAACTGCACAACACCATCTCCAACACATTCTCCCGCTGATTAAATCTGCTCTGGACACTGCCCAAATAACGCCCGAGGAAATTGATTGCCTTTGTTACACCAAGGGTCCTGGCATGGGAGCACCATTACAAGTTGCTGCCATTGTTGTTAGGGTTCTTTCACAGCTTTGGAAGAAGCCCATTATTGCAGTTAATCATTGCGTTGCACATATTGAGATGGGAAGGATTGTGACAGGTGCAGATGATCCTGTTGTGTTGTATGTCAGTGGTGGGAACACACAGGTAATTGCATATAGTGAAGGGAGGTATCGAATCTTTGGGGAGACCATTGATATCGCTGTTGGAAATTGCTTGGATCGGTTCGCCAGGGTATTAACACTCTCCAATGATCCAAGCCCTGGATATAACATTGAGCAGGTATTTGAATGTGGTATGTTTTGTTCCATTGAATCAGTAGAGGTTGAAATTGGCATTCATGCTTTCTTTTCTTTTTCTATGGAATCCTTTTAAGTTATCTTATCAAGATTTCCTTTCTTTTTCCAAGAAATCTGAGAACTAGCTGTTCTTACTTGTTACTATGTTGGGGTTTAACTTGGGCTGGACTTAATTTGATTTCTTAATCATAAAGACGCAACAATCTAGCAACAAGAGAGATTTAACATGCAAGGTCTGAAAAAGGATAATTCTAATATTTGACCTTATATGATTCATCATTTTCTTCTACTACAGTAGTTCAGTTAAATCTTATTGTGACCCCAAAAAGAAAACGAAACTGGAAAAGTGTATAATATGGGAGCTAGTGGCATTTATTTAGGCAGAAGGTGAAATGGCTTCCCTCTTCCTTTTTGCGTAAGTGGCCTCTAGTTTTAGCGAAGAGGTTGAGTTGCCATATTTTGTATGATCTATTTCACATGGTACCTGTTCATAGGTTTTATTAAAATTGAAGGAATCTGATTTGGAGTTTTCTTCCCGCTTGCATTGTGAGAATGTTGGTTGTTAATTTCTGTACTTATTTTAAAAAACATTTTTAAATTTAAAATGCTGCCGATATGATTTCTATATATTCTATTGTGGGTGGCCTATTGCATTCCTGTATATGGTGAATCAATTTGAAATGTGTGAACCCATCATGGTCGGATAGTTGATTATCTTTTTAATACATGTATAGTTCCATAATGTTTACAGACGGTTTCAAACTCATAGTCATTTCTATAAACTAGAGTCATATAGTTTGCCAAATTTTATGATGATCAGGTGATGCAGTCAATCTTATTGCACTGAATGGGCATAAGAAATCCATATGTAATAACTCTTGAAGTTG